ATAAGAAAACCCAATTGATTATTAAGTTAATGATATCTCATCTCTTATGCTTGCACCATATAGTTTATTAAGGCTATAAGCATGATATAGAATTGACAGTTCAGATAGAACACTAATAGCAGATTCTTTTGATTCAAGAAAAGATTGCATAGTCAAAATAAAGAAACAAGCACTTCTGAATTTTACCATAAATGGTGAGTGCGATATAGAATTGACAATTCAGATAAAACACGGATAGCAGATTCTTTTGATTCAAGAGCAATACTACAACAGTATGATGTAGAGAAATAGTTAATACAATCAAAACCACTGAGTTCTATACTTATATGCTCTACTTTTGCAGAGCAAATTACATGTTGGTGCAAAACAAAGATAAGATGCCCAACTTGTTAAAGGACAAAATACAGGTCCAAATGTTGGGCTGTGCTCATGTAACATTCATAGAAAGTTAAATCCTTCATCACTACTACTAATGTGATCTTTAAAACAATAATAGTATCACCATCATCAAGACATTTATTACCATAGAAACAAATAAAATGTGAAAAAAGTTAAAATGAATTTTGTAAGTAACCAAGACAAGGCACTTACCATCAGGGTGTGGCTCAGTCATGTGATAAGCATCACAAGTAAAGCTTCCACCAAGAAATTCAGCATACATAGTTGCACCTCTTTTCTGCACAGTTAAATAGCTTTTCTAATTCTTCTTTAATAAGTTGAAAATAACCAAAACACACTGAAAATAGTATCTCTATGAACACATAATAAATTGAATAAAACAAGTGAGCATGGCAAGGGGTGTAAGACAAACAACAAAAATGCCTCAGAACAAGGCTTTATTGAGTCCAAGGGTACCTTAGCATGCTCCAATTCTTCTAAAAGCAGAACTCCTGCTCCTTCCCCCATGACAAATCCATCACGAGACTGTTTGATAACTAGCAAAATTTCACCAGTAAGAGATGCACAAGCAGACCAATGATGCAAAAAAATCTAAACCATGTTTTGAATAACAGACTTCAAAAAGAAAATACAGACAAGCACATAGAACTATTTTGTAAAAACTAGCAAGCACAGATCTAAAAGCCACAAGTTGTTGGGACCTATAAAGTCATATGACATGACAAGAACATGGAAACTTCTATTCTAATATGAAAAAATAGCCAAGTTGCTTGCCTTTCAAATGTAGAATTATCATCGGTTTTCCTCCAAATTAGCTTCATTAAACCATTTTTATTTTCACTCTTGCCAATAGAGTTTTGAGATGTTAGAAAAAAAAAGAGCCTGAAAGCTGAGTTAATTGAAAAAAAAGAGCCAAATCGTAGATCGCCATACGTAGTTAGCTTAAACGAGAAGAACACGAAATCGAACAAAAACAGAGTTAATTGCAAAATTAGTGAGGAAGAGAGAGCTACCTGAGAGAGATCCTGTAATTTTTTTTTTCTTTGCTCTCTTTGGAGAATGGACAAAAAGTTTGTTGCGCACCCCAAAGTCCCTACAATGCCAAGGGAGATGCCAAAGTTGCCTCTGCCATGAAGCCAAGCTCTTCGACGCCGATGATGATGATGATGAAGAACTTGGCTGCCTAGAAGATCCTAGTCCCTACAACGCCAAGGGAGATGCTTTGATCGGCATGATGCATCAGCTTCCTTATGGGTTTGACGAGGTTGTGGTTGGCGGTGTTTCGGAGCCGGAGGCATCTGGAAAGTGTGTTGTGGGGAAGGGTGGCCCTGGGGATGTGGCCGTTGCTAGGGACAAGGTGGTGACTGGAGGTGATGTTGTGGATGCAGACAAGGGCAAGGGGGCGGACTGCCTGGATGGGAACCAAAGCACTTAGGTTTTTGAGTTTTATCAAAATCAATTACAGATTTTGTAGATTTGGGAGAGAGGCGAAACACCTAGGTCTACCTAGGGAGGGAAGCTCAGGATTAAGGAGAAAAATTGGGAATTTGTGGAGAGAAGTGAAAATTTCTACTGTCGGCTGAATGGGTCTTTGAGTTTTATCAAAATCAAATACAAATTGTGGAGATTTGGGAGAGGGAAGCTAGGGATTTCGGGAGGGAACTGAAAATTTCTACTGCCGGCTGAATGGGTCTTTGAGTTTTATCAAAAAATCAAATACAAATTGTGGAGATTTGGGAAAGGGAAGCTAGGGATTTCGAGAGGGAGATTTGGGAATACAGGGAGGGAAGTGAAATGATTGTTGCAGTGCGATCGGCTAAAATTAAAACGCGTTTTAGATACAGTAATCTGTTTGTATAGATTATATCTTTACAAACGGATAATCAATTAACCGTTTGTATAGACTTATTCTATACAAACGGTTATATTTTTCCATTGGTATAGACCAATATATACTGATTGCTCTAATTTTCTGTTGGTATACATGGTTTTATACAGACAGATTCTTATCCATTGGTATAAACTTCTGTTGGTATAAGGCATTTTGTTTGTAGTGGTTGATAAAATAAAGAGCCGTGAATATTTGTTAGCCAACACATCATTATCTAGCCAAACATCTTTTCAAAATCTCACCATTCCACCATGCCTAAATTCAATTTGAAGTTGTCCTCCGACCAACCTTAATTTAATTATTATTTATATAATATATTAATTTTTTTAAAAATTATATTTAAAAAGCTAAAAAAACAAATTAACATTATTAAAAATAAACAAAGAGAGTATTATTTTAGAACAGTGGGTTAAATTAAAATTTTTTTCAATTATTTCTTTTTTTTTTCTTCCTCTTTCAATTTCATTTTTTGTTTTTTTCTTTAAACTACAAAGAATACATTTTGTTTTGTTTTGTTTTTTATTTATTTATTAGTAGTTTCTACAAATATACGTTCATTTTGTCATTCAACTGATGACATCATATAAATACCACGATTGCTATTAATTTATAGCTAAAAACTAAAAAAAGTATATTTGAAATATTTTTTAAAATATTTTTCCTTTTTTCGACTTATCAATTTGACACACAAATAAACCATTTTTTGGTCAATG